ATAAAGAATTTGTTAAATAATTCATATAAGCCAAAAAGTAAATGGCTTAACATGCAGCTTTTTCTTCCTTTCACAGTGATCAAAAGCATCTTTTAAACTTGTATTTTATTTAAAAAGCTACAATTAACGAATCGAAGTTTATTAAAGTAGATTAAATAAACTGGGTGAGGCATATATAGACAGCTTTTAATCTCACCTACATAAAGCTACTCGAAACAGCTCTTGCTCTTTCTTATCTAGAAAATTCTGTTGTGCCAAGAACAAGCATTTCGTTTTACCCTTAGGTGATTTGTATATTTTTAACACTTCACTGCCTTCACTTTATATGGCAGGCTCATTCATTTGTTTCCTCTTTTACTTCTTATTTACTGTTTGTATGTTTTAAAATTATTTTCTTCACACTTTTATGCAATATAGACTTTCATAGTAAAGTTTTCACACTACCTACTATAAAAGTTACGTAGATGCTGCGTGGGATAACTTGTTTGTTACATTAATTAAAGAAAATCACATCCGCGTAAGGAAAGGGATGCCTTCGGAGAGGGTTTTCGAAGAAAAACTGTCTCACATTCATGTTATATATGGGAGACACCACAGAAACATCCATGTAACCAGTTCGTTCTCTGGCATTTGAACTTAAATTGAACTATCAGTGTTCAGTGGTTTTAGATAATCGGCCATTGATATGTCGTGAGATAGCTGGAGACAAGTTCTATAAACTATAAATTCTCATCGGAAATTGTTCTATCTATGTAAAGCAATTTCAAAATATCAATTTAAGTGCGAACGGAATAAAAAAGTAACGGGCAAAAATGGAAATGTGCAATTGCCTACACTTTATTAAAACACTGTTCTTTGAAGAGTTGTAATGCTTATTTTAAATGACACGTGTGTTTTCTTATGTTTATTATTTCCTGCAATTTTACTGTTCGTCTACTCCGCCAGAGTATGAAAATGAAGTGAGGTTAAAAAAGCAGCAAAAATCTAAGATTAGGAACTTCAGCTTGCTGCCAACTTCTTTGTACTGCTTGCGTTTAACACTGTAAGCTCAAATGTCGTTAGTTAGCAGTCACAGGATAAATCAGTCAGGTTGTAGACTTTTAAATTCAAACCTTAACTTAAACAATATGAATCATTGTTATCTGTGCGGTCAAATAAATCTTTTTGTCGTTTTACATTGCTGTAATTACTTAGCGTTTTGGTATTAAAAAGTTAAGACGTTATGATAATTCATGCAGCAGCCTAAGAAGCTAAGAGACGCTGACTTCAAACTTAAGATTAATACATCGATTTAAGTGTACATGTATATAATTTTCTCGTAAATCACTTTTAATTTTGAACATGTGTATTGAATAATAGTTTAATTCAATCCGTCCTTTGTCTGTTTCAATATCTTGCCTAGCAACAATACTTCTTTGACGAAATGCTTTTGATTTGCACCAGACTGACCTTTTTTTTTTTTTTTTTTTTTTTTTTTTTTTTAAATCTGGCGTATATGTCATATGAAGGCTGCCAAAAGAATGGTTAAATTCGCTAGAGATCTGATGATATTTTTATGACTTTTTATAATTACATACCTATGCTTTATTTTGCCTTCATTCTCAGTAATCAAGGAACTTTTATTGACAAAAAATATGCTTATATTCCTTATTCATTACTAATTTTAAGACTAAAATTAACCGTATGATTGGTCAGACTTGTAATTAAAGGTATCTAGAGCCCAGTTTAGAAATATGAATTTCCGTAGCTAAACCTTTCTAGGAGAACCTATTTCTTCGAATTCCTTTCAATGTACGAGCATCACTGAAGTGAATTATACATCTATAAAGCAGTCCCCACCTCCAGAAAAAGTAGGGATAAAGAGAAGAACCTGAAAAGTCCTCACTGATTTTATTACAAACCTTAATTAAATTAACCTTAACCTAAATTAAATTACAGGGATAAAAACGAAAAGCAGCAATTAACTTGTTTATCACTTTAATAATAAAGTATATAATCGTGTCTATGGTAAGCAAACAACCCTCTTAGTTATGGGATATCATGAGCTTCAAATGTGATGATCAGACAGTAGCAGAGATTGCTATTGAAACTGAGTGTTAGTTTACAAATCAAGGCTTCATGAATTAATATCAGTTGATAATGAGAGTGTAAAACAATGATTCAGTGTCTAGAGTTTGAAAAATAAAGTAATGAAAAAAACTAATTTAAAATTTTGCACTCTGTTTTAGTTTAATGTTTTGAAAATCTAAAATTAAAAAATATATTTATAGATAGGATTTGGTGGCCTCTTTCATGAAAGTGGATCTCTAGGATACATGACCCGTTTGCCCTTATACAAACTGGGTCCAGGAAATGCCTCGGCCGTAAGATAGTTATCATATAGTTGTCAGAATTACAGTGCTGTATAAGCAGGAACATCAGTACAGTATTTGCATCATCCTTAAAATTCAGAAAATCGGCTTTTCTTCTGCAATTTAATATGCAATAAGCCAACAAACTTCAGCGTAAAAGTTAAATTTGTTAATTTAATAAATATTCCCAGAAGAATACGATATCATTGGAAAAGATCTTTACATACAACAAAGCAAAGTCTAGAATCTTTTCAAACCAGTTCTATATTTTTGCTGTTAAAAAGCAGGTCGAGAGGTAAATTACCTCATAACGACTTAAAGGCGAGCTCGACATATGACTCATTTTACCAATATAAGGCAAATCGAGCTGATATTATTATCAGTATCTGCGGTTTACGAAAGCAGTTAGTGTCTTTCCTGGATTTCAAATTTTCCAGTGAAATTACACCTAAGATTGAAAGTCATATCCTTGGTTTTTATTCTGTATTGCAGCTCTGTATCTTTCCTTTTTATACATACGAAAATCCTGAACACTCTGTAGGAGAAGGTAATAATGCTAGTTCTAAAATGAAACAACTCCTTTTAAAACTGGCTTTTCTGTTTGCTTTTCAGATTCTAAGTCCCCCTCTCCCCATTTTCTTTCGCAGAAGCATTTCGCATTATCTTAGATAATAGGAATTAAATCAAAGTGGAATTTACAATATATGCGTGATATTTAAAGGAACTGCGTAAATTTCAAACTTAAACTTAGCTGAAATACCTTTTTGTTCATGATAAAAAGAGTCATTATTAACATTTGATAAAAAAAAAAAAAAAAAACTTTATTATTTTACTGAAGTTTAAGAAAAAGGATGGAACATAAATGATTGTAATTTGTATACTCGTGCAGAATTTTAATTAAGTTTTATTTTTATAGTAGATAATAATATATCTAATCAGCTAGGAACTGTGTAGCCGAAGCGTATAAAGTATGGAATAAGGAATACTGTGTGAATAAGGAATATTATGGGACAAACCTCGTTATCCATATGCTAGATATTCTTGATAAATAAACTGGGATACATGCAAATAAAATCAGATAGTAAATGAATAATTAAGGTGGTAATAATCAATAATTCTGTCTCTGAAAATATATTCCAGAAAAAACTTCACAGAAGTTGAATTATATAGATAAGTATATATATATTTTTGGTATTAAATTATCGAGAATTTAACCTATGTCTTAATATATGGCAAAAACGAAAACGTTTTTAGCGAATAGCCGGCTCTAAAGTATATAAAATACATTTTAAAAAGAAATGCTTGGGAGTAGCAGTTTATTTCTTTTGAGGTTAAAGTAAAAGTCGGAAATGTGAAAAAATTCAAAAAGAAATTTGAAAAGCGGCTCAGAATATTATTAATACAAAATTCCTTATTGAATGTGAGTTGAAAACGTGGTGGGATTCTGAAAGAGCTTAACAATATTCCATCCTACTAAAATCATTGATATTGAAAGCAGCATATCGAAAACTGACAAGAACTCAAATAAATCTTTCGACATTTATCATTTTTAAAAGGCATAATATAAAAACACAGTGAGTAGAAAGTAACGTTATATGAAGCTTACATCAAATTAAAATGATTTTAATTAAGTGAGTACTGCTAGCTAAAAATAAATGTGCAATCTATTTAGTTTTTGATTCAAAGTATTTTGGGCATATAAACCTTTTTTTAATTAAAAATTGTAAATTTTCAATGACTTTCTTATTCTTCTTCATTTAGACGTCGTCATAAAAATGATCAGACTCAAAATAATCAAAATCAGCAGAAGTAAAGAAATTTTAAATATTCCATAATCAAAAACATTTAGAAAGTACAACGCTGTTAAAATTTTTAGATTATTATTTAAGAAAAAGATTACAATTTATTTTTGAAAAGGCAACAATTTTCTCCTCCAACCAGCATCACTCAGAAGTCTAAAGCATGACAGTTCACGCTTTCGAGATCATTGACAGAGAACATTCATATGAAATTATTGTTGTTTAATAGGCCATATTAAAGAAAAATAAGTCTTATGCCCTGAATATCCACATAATGTTTTCGTAGACAAACTGGAATGAATTTCACATCTTTGCTACACATCGTTACAGAATATGAGTGTCAAGAATTAAAACTCACTGAATCATATCTCAAATACAGTTTGCAGATTGAATTTAAATTTACCTAAAAGCAAAAACGTATGCAAGATAGATAACATTGTTTTTAAATTGAGTACCAAAAAGCATTTTATGTTCAATCCATTAATGAAAAAATAGTTTTGGGGTGGCTGTGGAAGTTATCCATTTGCTGCAATGTATATTTAATGTATAATATTATGTAAATTATCCACCAAATTTGACTCTTCCTAAAGTACTTTGTTGTTAAAATGTGAGCAAGGTTGAAGAAATATAGCCCATTAAACGTCAAATAAAATTATAATATGAAATTGGATAAAAAAAGTAATAAATTTTCTGTTAAATTTGTCTATAGATAAAAACCCTTGCTAGACAAAAATTTGTCTACATCAATTAATACAAATATTTCAACAATTGATTATATCAATGATGAGTAAGCTCAGTGTGATAATTTTCTGTGCTTAAAATTTACTAGAAAATGCAACAAATTACACCAAACATTTTAAAGGTATTAATAAATATAACCCTAATTCACATTCTGTTTAAAGCACAATCATGCATTCATGAACTAAAATAAGACTTCCGTTTTGTATTTCAAAAGGGCAAATATTCAAAGTTTCAAAATGGATTGGAGAATTTATAATGTCTTCTTTTTTTTTTTTTTTTCGGCTCACAAAAGCTAGATCTGATTAAATTTCTAAAAATAAAGTAATTCCCAAGTCATATCTAGCTATTTTTGGCAGACAGAGGAACAGGAAATAACCAATAACTTGTAAAAACTCGTAAAGGCGGTGGTACTCAGCATTGATTACTTCTGCATTTATATTTTCCTTGTAAATTTCTGTCTGCATTTCTTGTGGATATATTCATCACATAAATATCTTTCCAAATGCTGACCTAAGTATTATGAACTATACCTTTCAGTCTTTCCTTTCAGTAATAACCGAGAAATATTTTTAGCATCAATTTTGTATGCCACAAACTGTCTTACGGAAACGAAGCCAAAACGTAGAAGAATTTCTCTGATGTCGCTCATAAATTAGCTTTATAAAAATTACTTGGTAATTAATTTAACATTAGCAAATAAATTTTTATTTAAGCTTTTATCTCTCTCCCATTTAACGTAACAGTAATGGATTTCTTTAAGTAACCTATATATTTGCGATATAAAGCAGCTTTTTACTGAAAATAATTTAACAAAACACTTTTTTTTTCTTTGTAATAAGTTTTTACGCTTACCTCCAAAATTGGTCCATGGCATTTTCCACAAAACTATATAATCATTAAATTAAAAAGGTAGTATTTTTATTTGGGATAGCTTTCATAAGTAAAAAAGTCATGAATGATTAAAAAAAAAGGCCGACTTAAACATAGTATCTAAATATTGTTCAAGAACATGTTTAGCACACATTGATTGTATTCAGGCGCACAAATTTCACAATGATGCTTCAGAAACATCATTAAAATATTTGCCCTCCAAACGTCTGGTCAACTGCGACATGAAATCTCTGAAGTTAACCGGGTAAAGATTCTTGGCCAAGAGATGAATAACAAACCAATCGCCTACTTTGCATTTCCTTAGGACTATATCCAAGTGTTCTTCTCTTGCAAGGCTAGCTCTCGGTTTCAAGGATTGAAGTCTGGCTTCAGGTGAAAAATAGAGTAATATTCTGTAAGCAATTGCAACGCACGATATAACAGCCAAAAAAACAAACCAGAACCAAAGGAAGACGTATATCTTTTCATTGATGATATTGATGGGCAAAATGCACATGGCATCATGTTTCTGCACGTCTCCGGAGGAACCGTATCTGTGAAAGGTACACTTGGTGAGTCTGGGAAAGACACGAATCATCGGATCATAACGGACAGACCAATCCCAGTCTGTGAATTTTACCACATCTGTTCCATAAGAGGAGAAAGTGCCACCTAGAAACGTATCCATTAAACGCATCTGACCAATCACATTCACCACATTAAGCACTTCACTGATTAAGTAGTAGATAAAATAGCTTTCGTTGTGGTTAAAAGTGGCTACAACATAATCCACTAATTGCTTCAAGTTGGCTTCTCTCTTTTTCTCATCCAGGACAGGACTGTTCAATTGCATAACCATAGCTCGCATCCTGCCAGATTCCATGGCTTTCCAAAAATAGCGGGGTACATAGAAAAGGATTGCTTGAAGGAAGAGTACGAAGCACACCCACTGATAGTAAGCATGGTAAATTTTAGTATGGCTTTTGTGGTATTTGTCTACGCCAGGGTAGGGAACCTCCTTCCCAACTTCTTTAAACCATGCTTCTTCAACACTGAATGTTGAATGTATCCAGCAATACGTATCAAGAACTCTGGTTGGAAAATCATCTTTCGAAATACAAGAGATGGGGTCACCAATATATTGGCGACTTGTTACCAATAAGCTGAAGGCTATTAGAATGGGCACAGTCACTTTATAATGTAACCTAAACACATTATTATCAATTACAACAGCTTGAAGTTTTAGAAGACCTTTCAAGGATCCAAACAGTTTATCCATCCTTATCTATTAAAGTAGCAGTTTCCAACGGAGGAACCAAAACGGGCCGTTGGGGCTACCGCCGGGTGTAATTGAGCAAAGCGATGTCTTAAAGCTGCTTCGTCCGGAACGTGGTGAAGAGTGAGAGAATAACAATCATAGCAAAAAGAAAGGAAAAACTCGCCGGACTAGAGGCTGTGCTGACTGAGGTCACGTGCTCCGTCTACAGAATCTCGGGGAAATGCGTCCATATTCAACCTGTTTTGTGTCTCATAGTGCGTGGTGGAAAGGGGGAACACGATTTGATATCATTTCTGCTTTCTTTTTTCTCGCTTTTCATATTTATACGTCATTAACTGCTATTACGTTATATTTAGATTCAGTATTTATAACTGAGTTTGCGATTAGATTAAAAGTGAAATTCCAAGTATTGTGTATATGATTAGCTTGGTAATGAATATTGGAGACGATAAGAAAAAATTAATAGAATATATGTAGCGGTTAATGATTTCATAGCTTAATAAGCATTGTTATTTTATTTTCATTCCCCAAACTGATAGGAAGATAGACATTTCTTTTTCGGAAATATCTAGTTAAACGAAGTCTGGCAATTTTCGCAATATTTCTTTTCTTTAATTGTTCTCACATATTTATTCAGCTTTTTAATTGCAACAAACTGGAAATGCTAGATGCTTATTTTTTAAGATAGAAATATAATGTTTTAAATGAATTAAATTTTAAAATTCTTTGACCATTCTATTGTAGCTGATTTCAGATTTAATGAAAATAAATTACAAGTTAAAAGACATGAGGAGAGAAAAACAAAGTTTTAAAGAGGGAAAAAATTAAATTAACACAAGATTATTGCTCATACCTGATTTCCAAGCTTTTTTTAAAGCATTACATAAACGTGTGCATTTAATTCTTCATTTGATATATGTAAAAAAAAGTATTTTAGTGTTTATTACATAAAAACAGAGGGGGAAAAAAAACGTTCGTTGCATATTTTTCTGAGCTGTTTGGATATTTCAGATTTTATACTATTTATAAGTCATAAGATACTTTTGTTATTATGTTACTATTGGGTGTTCTCAGGGCCTATGCTAAATTTTTTGCCTTCTATTGCAAACTCTTTAACTCTTAAGTTCTGTCGTTCGGTTCCTTCTTGAATTCTAAAAATTTTACAGCTTCTAAATTCTGTCGACCGAAATGATGGCACCGGTTGCACCGGCTCTGGGTATCCTTGATTTTTGATTTGACAGTGAGATGCCAAATCCAATTTTCACAATCTGATTCATGTCAAAGTTCAAGAATAAAACTTTAAAAATTCGCAATTCATAATACAATTGGTTTCTGTTTCCTGTCACAGACCGATTTAGCAAAGGCCCAAAGCAAAAATTCATTCTTCATGGTGGGAAAAGTCCTTCCCACCATTGCAGTAGTCATTACTGACGAACATTATTTAAAATTTTTCATTAAATAGTTTAGCATTTTTTCATTTAAATTTATTTAAACAAAAAATATCATTTACCTTTTCGTATATTTTGTTTTAATGGTTTCATTCTGTTATATGCTGTGTTAAAATATAAGCTTAGACATTTTTAAATCAGGTTCCTGCTTTTCTGGATAAAAGTAAAAAAAATATAGAAACAGACATAAATGGAATTAATGAAATTTAATTATTTATCAATGTCATAAACAAGTTTATGAATAAAATACAGAACTGAAAAATTCAATTTCTTCCTATCATGGCGAATTCTTTTCTTCCAGCATTTTTTCCCACCGTGGAAGAGAAACCTATCATTTCTGCTTTAAAACTTATGAAAATACATAGTAGTTTAATGACATCACTTTCCAACGGGATTGAAAACAATAGCTCAGATTTAGAATGGATTACTGCAAAGCAAATAAAAATTTCAAAGCAAAATTTAGGCGAAGCCCTGCGGAGCTCTTTCTTACACGGAAAAAAAAAAAAAAAAAAAAAAAAGATTACTTCGAGAAGAACTTAGGAAAAATTTATTCACATTACATATGGAAAAAATCACGAAACCCCCACAAAAAGGCAGTCAACTCTTTTCCGGAATTTGAACTCGAGTCGAATTACCAGCGTTCAGCGACTTTACCAGTCAGCTGTTGATAGATCTAGGCCCAATTTTGAAGGAAACAGAAAAACTGCAATTTGAAGTTACAATTTTGTTCTTGCTTTAAATTTCCGGAGGTCTTTGAAAAAATACGTAAAATTTTATATATTTCAAACACTAAAAATGCACTTCTTTCCAGAAAGTGAAGATTAGGAGCATATGCTCCATTTTCCGTTGCACAGTTCAGGCCTTATTATTTATGTAAGGGTGTCTGGAAATTACTCGCTCTTTTGACCGAAAGATATCCCAATTAGTTGGGTATTCACCCCCTATCTAAAAGTGTCAAACATAATCGCGGAATTCATCATTACCGAGAGTGCTTCTGATTTGCGTTTTTCCCCTACTCCCTACTCCCGCAGTAACGAGATATGACTAATGGATATTTAAAGGTCGCCTAATGCATAAACAAAGAGCGGCTTTTGATACAGCAGAGCTTACAAACGCCCCTTATCTGACTTAAGCCGATGTCATTTTTATTTACAAGTTTTCTTGAGGAACTGCTGAGCAATATTCCTGCACTCTCTGATTTACAGTTTACATTGTAGGAAATTTAATGAGTCTCTGACTTCTGTTTAAAGAAAACAAAATCTTGAAGATGTATTGAAATTTCTAAACTACTACGCCAAAACTCAGAATCAGACTTGGTATAATAATAAAACTATTTAACATTCAATTGCATTTATCATGAATTAATGAATTAGCTAAGCAGGTAGTGTTTGTTGCACTTGGTACGCAGTTATTTGAATTTTTCTTAAATTAATAAATGATATCGCAATAATGTTATTAATACCCATATAGGTTACAACGAAATTCTTGGGTCAGAAATTTGATAACATATAGAAATATGGAGACTTTAAACATATGTTCCCGTGAAAGACCGAAATTGGAGAATGTCGACTTTCACCGGAGATTGTCAGCATTCACCAAATACGTCGGTTGAAAGATCGAATATTGCATTACATCCTTGTACATTCGGAGCCTCATCGGTGTATGTCGACAATCACAGATATGTTCTGGTGTAAGTCGAAAAGAGAGGAGTATATGTACACGCTGTCATTGTAAAAGGAAGTGTTCCACAAATAAATGCAGTTGTAAAAGCAAGGGCCTCTTGTGAAATTCAGAGTGTCATAATAGTTTAAGTTGTTGCAATAAATAATATTTGAATGGCATAATTTAGTAAGTTTTTAACTTCTATTATTTTCCTTTCTCATTTTGAATGTACTGTGTGTTTTAAGTTCTTATATTCTTAAATTCTTAAGTCTCAAGTGTGTTTTTTCGCGACTGAATTACGGAGAAAAAAATATAATATTCTTATATGGTCAACATTCACCATTAGTAGATGGTGAATGTCGACATTTACCGGTGTAAGTCAGAAATAAGAGTATTTGAAAAATATTTCGGATATACACCAAGCGACTATGCGAATGTTGATATTTACCGGTGAAAGTCGACATTCTCCAGATTTCGGTGTTTTACCGTAACATATTTTATATAGGTATGTAATGGATTCTGTAGTAGAACGCAGGCGGTTGAATCCGTAATGAACAGCGAGAATTTTGATGTCGAAGAATGCTGAAATGCAGATCCACAATGAATAAGAAATTTAGCAGTCAAGGTATATTTAATTCAACAATATATTTCAGTAAACATGTTGGGAGCCACAATCAAGTTGACACATTAATTGTACCTATTCCAAAAAATTTACATTTTAGATAAATTTGCAGTAAGAAAGAAAGAGCAGACAGACTGCAGAGCAGCCAGGCCAAAGCGTAGAAAGTGTATAATGTTCAGGATGAAATCTTAATTTCAGACTTAGTTTTAATTCTCAGTGCATTCTGATTGGATAGTTAATACTGCGATAAAATTACTATTGGCTGTTTGAGTTTTAGTTCCATTTACATCATCAGAATTACGTAAGAATCATATGATATAGATTAGTCTCGAAATGACGAAATGACGCAGAATAATGATGTTATTATTTTTAGAATACAGAAGGGAAATTAATTTACGTTGCTAATTTAAGTTTTATCTTCTGCATATTCTTTATTTTCCTTACATACATATATATAATATATATATACAATATATGTGTAAGATAAAAAATATGTAAATCAAGTTATAATTTAGAGTGGCAATAACCCCTTACTTCTTCCTCTCTATTCTAAAAAATGTAATAACTCGTTTGAATTACGACATTTCTAGATCAATCCACCTTGTATGGCCTGCGCAACGCTCATGACGTAGTTATTTCAGAACCTAAACTCTAAGAACTGAAACTTTTCTAACTTAAACGAAAACTTTTCTCTTAACAGACTTTCAGATTGGATAAATACGCAGCTAGCTTGTATCTCTGTTGCCGTTTGGACGCTATTTCATTTCGCTTGTGCTTTGTCGTACTCCTAACTACGCCGTTATTTAAAATGTGATACGCTATATAAAATTTTGGTGTGCGTATTGCGCCCATGATCATGTGTAATGAAAAATATAGTTTCGAGAATTAGTTCGTGTCCAGCAATAAAGATTATGTTCAAATCGGCTACGTCTGTCTGCATGTCTCTCCTTAGAGCGTCATCTTTTTAATTATGCAGCAGTCTCTCCAAGCTGTTATCACACACATATTTAGCCACTTCTTCTTTTTGGTTTGGGCACTCCCCCCTCCCTATTCTAAAAATAGTAATAACTTTTTCGAAACTGCGTCATATCGCGTATAGTTAGCCAATCAGATTAACGAACAGTGGCGGCTCGTAATAAGCACTGTGGAACTGCAGCACCCCCAATTTCCACTTATTATTATTTTTAATATTTAATTTAGTGTGCTCTTTAGTCTTCAATTCTTTCTTTATACTTTTACAATACATAATCCTTAAGCTTTATGTCAGTAGCCATCCCCCACTTTGTCGAAAAGGTTCCAAAGTCATTGGAACTACGCGCTTCACAGTTCCAGCGATGTGGTGTTTGGCTGTTCTGCGCATGCGAGCACAGAAAGCAGCACGCGAGCCGGGCAGAGAGAAGATCATTGTCGCTCTTGCAGTGCCGAAATTCTGGCATGTTGTTCGAAAAATGATTTCTTT